ACGTGCACAAAGTTAGTGGATTGTAACCTTAACAGCATCATGAGGACCATCACCAGATACTTTATACCAACTTCAGTTGACTGCTTACCAGTCCTCTCAGGCATTCTGCCCCCCCTGACATCTGAAGACAAGCTGCTACCCTGGCTCTAGGCCGCAAAGCCCAAGATACAGACCATTCTTTGCACTCCAGCCTAGTAGCCACAAGCCAGAAAATCAACTACTGCCTGAAATCTCAGAACCTGTTCTCCAGTCAGGCCAATAAGCTCACTGAATCTACAGATGGCGTGGCATATCACCTACCGCATGGACCTCCCATCAGTGGAGCAGGCAATATGTTGCAGCCTGCTGCAGCTGAAGAACATCACCCCTAACACCAACTTCCACTCTTCAGGCTGGCAGCTGCCCCGCAAGGCCTAGACTACTCTTAACCTCTCAGAGCAGGTGTTGGACAGTTTACAGAGAACATGCACTCTTGGGGCCTCTCCAATGACGCTGGCTGCAACTGCGGTACTCAAGCTCAGATGGCCAACCACATGATCTATGAATGCCATTATGGTCCTCATTCAGGTATTCAATGTCTTATTGACATGGACCTTCCTACCTGTTGCTGACTTTCTGGCCCTTATACTTCTGATAGAGTGTGGCGACACTTGTTTCATCATCATCATCATCATCATCACTGCACCTCAACTTTGATATGTAAAGTTGAAATTATGATATTGATGTCCACTTTAAGCACACTGATACCTACTGATACAAGTGCCATATACGAGCTAAGTACATTTATTAGCAATATCCAGTACTTGAAACATTAAAAAATCATATATCAAGCTTTCCAGAATCATGAAACTGGCATAAAAATATTTTAAGCAAACAAACAAACAAAAAACCCTTACATTTTACACTTTTACATTTACCTTCTGGTTTCTGAACTTTTAGTATATGCCATGGGTGGACCTACTGAGACTGAATCTCATGTCTTGAGCTGCTGGGAAAATGAGTTTTCCCTTTATAGAAAATCATGGTATCTGAAAAAATAAAAACCTTTTCAGCTGAAAAATGTTGGGTCTTCAACAACAAGTATCCTTGTGAAGCCAGTATTTGTTATACAAACCTGTTATGTAATAGGACTGTGAAGAGGCAGAGAGGCCATTGGAGGCCTAGTCCAAAGCCATTGAAGTGACTTTCCTCTGAGCTGAGTGGGCTTGGAGTCAGGCCCTTGGTACACGACTGTGCATTAGTACTAGGCAGTCTTCCATTAATCTTCTGATAAGGGTTGTAGACCTCCCAATGGTAAATGCCGTAAATGTTTTTGTCAAGTCAGTTTTTGGATCCTTCTAGCTGAAACATCTCATGATCTTCCTTCGAAAACTGTCCCATTGCCTAACTTCATGGATCAATATGCTCGCTCCCCTTTCTGGCCTTAAAATCTGTGGATCTGGCACAAGTCCCTGGCTAGCTTTAGGACGATGGTACTTCTAATGGTCTTGTATGTATGTTTCCCTTCTTTGTGTGCATCCATTGATACAACCTCTAGATACTGCTGCACATAGAGTAAAAGGCTTGATCTTGTTTCAGTTAATTGGGAGTAGGTTTGGGCCTGAAGGAAGCAAAACGGTGGCCAAAAAAGCAGGAGGGGGGATTTTACAAGGTATTATCTATAACGGTCTCAGGGACTGAGTCTCAGAGACTTGGGGTTTCCCCCACATCTGCCACTGATCTGCTTGGTGACTCTGAGCAAGACAGTGTCCCTCTCTGTTTCCCATTCTACCACTCTTACTTATACTATAAGGTCTCTGGGGTAGTGATTCTCATCTGGTTGGACAGCACAATGGGGCCTAGATATTTCTCCAGCCTGCTAGTAATGACCATATTAAAACTAAATCTAATGAGGATACTTTCCTTGCCCCTGTTTTTTTGTTTGTTGGTGCTTTTCTTTTTTATTTACATGCATTTGGGTGTTTTTCTGCTTTGGTAATTTTATTACTGGCAAACAGCTTGAAAATCCTGAATGCAGGGACCAAGGAGAGCGGATGGATTATAGCAGCCAATCAAAATAGAACAACTTGCATAATCACAGTAGGATGATTGGAAAATGACCATACAGTCATTATGGAAAACCCTGGCTAGTAAAGATTTTCATCCAGCCAGAGTACGTGGGTTTACATGCTGCACTGTGATTGAGAAATAACCATAGACGGATTCTGCAAATCAGAGAGCCAGAACCAATCAGAGTCAAAATGGGGAAAACTGTATACAACATCCCTCCATCCTAACTGGCTGATGCAAATCCATGTTATAGCAGAATCAGGCAAAAGAAATACTAATGGAAATCTGCTTGTGAAACTGTATATCCTTCTTGAAAGGTGAAACCTGTAAGCCAAATACCCTGCTGGTGTAACTTCATTGCCTTCAGCAAAGAGAAGTTGGCCCCACCTGCCCACCCCATACCCTTACTTGGAAAGGCAAAGCTATGGCCAGGCAACCTGTACTGTCTGAACAATGATTATTTTCAGGCTATTTTCTGTGCACCATTTACTGAACTTGCTACTGCATCTGAGCCAAGCAATTTGCATAGGTTTGCTTTTTCTGTCAGATTTTCTTTTCCTGCTGATCCCCAAGGAAACATTGGCCTTAGTAGCTTACAGATGGTCCAAGCATTCCTAGTGCTCCTAACCATTTGAGATTGTGATTGGAGGGCAATATGGCTGTGATGGAATGCATGGAACAGCTTGGGGAGCGTTTTATGTACCCACTTTTGTCATGCAAGTAGGTTAAGGCATTGTTGGTGACATGGTGTCTCCCTGGCATAGTGCTTCTGGTTAGCACTTCCTCCTCCTCGACTCCCCCCTTCCCCCCATCTTCTGAAGGAAAGTAAAATCAGCAATAGGAAAATAATGCTTTTGATTTTCTTTGCTGACTCTTCCCCACAACAAAGTAGTGTCTATTTCCATTGTTGTCTCAACCACTGGTACTGCATAAGGAGAAACTGAGTTTGACATACGAGACCCATTTTGGCATCTCTTGTGAGTTAGTATGGGAATACTTTCCTCTTGACCTGCTTCAGGATGCTTTCCAAAGTTTCTAATGGCTCCACCACTCTCATTTCTACTTTAAAGCCAAGGTTTATGAAGGCTGGGTCTATGACAGGTGTAGATATATCCAGCCCAGGTAATCTAGCTGCCATGGGCACTAAGAGCAGTGAGGCTGCCATAGCACCCAGGTTTTACAGCCCACAGTAAAACATGTGATGCTGTAGCTTCACTGTTTTCAATAACCAAACTAGCTAAAGATGGTGCAGGTGGGTCCACATAGGCTGTAGTCATATCCTTACCTGCAGTGTAGATGTAGGCTAAGCAAGTTAGGTGCCCAACTCATAGACATATAGGCAACCTGAAACTGAACTACACAATCAAGCTAGTCCTGTATCATGTCGCTGGCAGTGGCTGGCAGTACTTCAGAAGAAGAATGCTACAATCAGCAAATGTGAGGCAAACTATTCCTCTTTTATAGATTTAAACGCTGAACCATGGGATTAAAGCTCCCTTTCAAAATATTTGTAGTGATCAGTTATCATAAAATGTGATATTCTTATCCATATAAATATCCAATCTATTTTTTGCATTTTGTTAATTCCTTAATCTCAATGATTTCCTGTGACAGTGAATTCCACAACCTAATCAGTTATGAAAAAAAAAATCATCCTTTGAACTACCACTGAATTTCAATGGAATGGAAATGAAGATTTTTAATCTAGTATCTTCAAAGGTGTCACAGCAGTGATTATTTGGCAGTATATAAAACTTTGCAAGATGGGCATGACATTTAAAAAAAAGATGCCAATAGAAACAGGGAAAAAATAAGAATCAGGCATTTGTAATATCAGGAAATAATGTTGAGGTCACAGAATAAGGAGGAATTTATTTTCTTGCTAAATATAATGACAATTACATTATAAAGTGGTGGAAATTTGCCATGTTTTAATGAATTTTTTTTCAACTTTTCAGTAAAACTGTTTTCAGTTTTCACTTGCAGTTTGAACAAAAATGTTGGACTTGTTTTTTGAACATCAACAATTTTTACTGAAAAGCAAATTTTAAATAATATTTTTGAAGTAACAGGGGCTTTTCTAGTTTTCTGGAGACTTTTTTTTTTTTGGCAAGAAATTGATTAGCTTTCCAACTTAACTATTGGGAATAGGGTCACATGCTCTGTTTTTAGCATCTTCAGGACCTATTTTAGTTTTATTTCTTTTTCTTAATTTTGTAAATATTTCTTTAACCAGCACTTTGAGTCAATTAGCAAGAGGCACTGCTGAGATTTCCAGAAGGAAATAACTTTATCTTTCTAGGAGTCCTTTGAGCTGCATGAACATAGACTGGGATTGGCATGTACAGCCATTTGCCAGTCCCGGGAGCTGCATGGGAAGACCAGAGTAAGGCTGGAGGGGAGAAACAGGCAGGATGATGGGGCTAGCAGGTCCATGGGGATTAGCAGGATGGGGGTGGTGGGAGGTGGCAAGTCTGAAGTAGGGGAGTTGGTGAGTCTGCAGGAAGGTTGTCCATTGGGGGCTTGAGGGACTAAGAATAGCTGTCAGTGTTGCAGACTACAGCCCTGGGACTGAGGAAAGTGGCTGGGTTTTCCCAGCCCTAGGGCTGCACTCTGAATGTGTAGAGGCATTCGATAGATTGGGTTTACCTGTTCCCAATCTAAATTAGTTCACCATCTCAGGTGAACTAACTTAAATTGGGCCTATTGTTTCTTGATAGATTTAACTCCCCTGAATGCCTACACAGATGGTATTTACCTTCACCTAGCCTTGGTTAGAGGCCAAGGAAAGCTGCAGCCCATGTGGCAGTGGGGGCAAGGGGTCACAATGCCCATGCTGCCTGCATGGTGAGGGCCCATACAGCGTGCAGCCCCCAGCCAATGAGAAGTTGAACAGCCAGTATTAATTAATTGAGCCTCACAGCAGTCTTATGTGCTCAGCTCTTCTGTGTCTTTTATTTTCTGTGCTCATCCAGCTGTAATTAATGACATGAGGTATTGGAAAAATTAGGGTCAGAAAATCTACAAGGAAAAGTTTTCTGTTTCTGTAACTCAGTTTAACGACTTAAGAGTTGCTAAGAGCAATTTTTTTGTGTGTTCACTGCTTGCTTGTGTCAGTAGCCAAAATTCAAGAAGGGCAGTAGGTAACCCTAAAATATTTTGTATGCAAAGTATAATATGAACCTACCGCCTACAATAGTATGACAATAATAGTGAGACGGTTCACTAAAACAATAATAATAGTGAAATACATTTTGAAACGCCACATTGCAAATTGTAGAAAATTCTATTTCATATATCAAAATGTTACAACCACTTATTCACAATGATAACTATTGCAACCCTGCTCCCCCCCCATGTAACTGGGAATTTTCAAGCTAGTTTAATTTATTGAAATCTATGGCACATGTTAAAAATCCATCACTTATTTTACAAGGTGTGAGTTCAGTACAAGGACAAAGTTTGCTAGTCTGCATTACTTTCTCTGTTAATTACTCTGCTTTCATATAAAAAAAAAAAACAACAGATGATTTGGTATTCCTTACATTTATATAAGTGCATAGTGATGTGAATTTCCTCTATGTTTGATAATTCAGCACAATGGAAGTATGAGGGAAACGGGATGAGTTAAGTGAATCCAGTTAAATGAATTTATAATGTTAACTGAAAAGATGTCTGCAATCTTTTATCAGTTAATAATGAGGCACTGCACTTGATAGTGGAAACAAATGAAAAACTTAGAATGCAGGTCCTGATCTACTGTCTACTATATTTCATTTCACATGTTTCAAGTTAAGGGCTTCTGCCACGAGAAAAGGATAGGAACTTAGGGCTAGAGGTATTTCAAGAGGCCCCTATAACTTGGCACATGCAGAGGTGTGCATTGCTGTCCCTGCTGGGGCTGCTGTTCCAATGCCCAGCTCATGCAATCATGAAAACCCACTGCATCATAATAGGGATGACCCCTTTACAAGTAGAATAACCAAGACCTCTTCTTCTTCATAGCTGCCAGTCAGATAGTCACAGATCATCAGAGGAAGCAGGAAAAATCTGAATAATCACAGCTTTCATGGATCCTTAGTGGCCAGCTTTTTATCATGCTGGAATCAGTGGTGTAGAGAGATTTCAATGCCAGAGCTGTTTACCTGTCAGTGTTTCTGAACAGGAAACACTGACAGATCAGTGCTGAAAAAGTTTGCACCTAGAAGTACAAAGTATCAATACAAAGAACATTATTCACACTCTTGTCAATTCAGATATCCAATGAGTAAAACAACGATTTCCAAATTATTACAAAACAAATTGATATTCTGAATGTGTGCAGTAACAAGAGTATACCCTATTAAAATTCATCATAGCTCATTAAAATACATTTGTCATTGCATAATTTTAATCTGCAGTAAATGCAATTTCAGTTTAGAAGCGGACCCTCTTTTAAGATTTTTTGGATTATCAGCCATTCTCAAAAGCAACATTCTTTTTCAGTCACTTTTTTCTTACTCTGTGGATAAAAATTCAGTGGCATTTTGCTGCTTTATCTTGGTCCAGTAATGGTCCTCCAAGGCTTTGATGTTAAATAAGGGATGTCTAGGAGCTATTCTGGTTTTCCAGTGGAACCTTGGAAGAAGAAGCTGCCCTGAGAGATGAGTACAAAGTTGGCCATCTTGTTCCTTTAAAATAATAAAAACAGGAGAGCAAATTAATCAGAAGGACCATAGAGAGGAACAAAAGGAAACATGTTAAATTTCAGGGGGATGGGTAATTAAAATACAGAAATGTACTGTAAAATTCAGTATTCAGACCTAAGCTGCAATGCTGTCATCTTTGAAAACCTCATCAAAGATCCCACTTGCCATTAAGAACTGGAGGAAAATTAAACCTAAGTGCTGTAGAAGCTTTGGCAAGCTGTTCAATTAAAAACTGAACTCAGCTGAACTTCTCAGTCTCGGGAGAAACGAAACTAAACATAAGCTCCAATAACATTTATCCTTTTCGACACGCAAGCTAAATGTCTTAATTATTTGGGCTATTTTGGCACAGAAAAGTATTATACAATAGCTCTCATTTAGAGAATTTAGTCTAATGTCATAAACAACATATGCAGAGTCAATCAGGTGGAACAGGTCAAATAGTGAAAAAAATGGACTTGCTAATATTTCTTGGCATAAAAACACTGACAGTGGTTCTTAATGATTCCTGGAGTCATACATTTCTTTTTTTTTTGTTTTTGTAATTTGGGTAACCAGTGGATAGTCTTAAAAAATAATAATGAATTGTAAACTTTTCAGATTTTTCCATGAGCAGTCTTTTATTCAGACCTTCATACCAGCAATCACTGTTCATTGTTCTTTTGATTCAGAAGTTTCAGACATTATATTCAAGTACCAGAAATATTTCCATGTGACTTAGATGAGCAACTATACAACATAATTAACAAGAATTAATTCTCAAAGCGATCATCTCACAAACAAGCCTATGTCTGAAAATGGTTTCAGGAAATTATTCCATGAATAACAAATACAAAAACATTCTATAACAGGGGTTTTAACCAGTGTAGTTAAAGTGGTAAATCCCCTTAGACTTGGATGCAGTGACATTGGTATACATGTGCATATATTGAAGTATCTGATTTGCATAAGGTGAGTATATTTAGCTAGGCCACTATAATTGTATCCACAACCCAAAAAGGTATATTGGCCAAAAGCCTCATGTTGACCAGTCCTGTAAAAAAAAAATCAGGTCCCAAAAGAATAGGGTTAGCTAATTGCACAACTATGGGTGAAATTGACTCCTATGAAAATGAGGTCTAAAAATAGCTGGGCAGGTCATGAATAGATTTCCACTGGACACATTTACTAATGCACTCCTGTCCAGCCATGTAAACATTCAGACGATTTAGTGCAACGTCTCTTGTCCTACAGAAATGCTTACAAGTAGTTTTGAGATGAGTGCTTTGAGCTCTGCATGGCTATGCCACACTGAATATACTGGACATTGGTTAACATCGGAAGCTCAGTAGTTCCTGGCCTAGCTAGTATCTGCTGCTTAACTGGAGAAAAGGCTGGTTCTGTTTCTGTTAAGCTTGTTGTCTGGGACTCCTGAGAGTGGATTCAGTCTCCTATTCTGCCACAAACTTTGCATGAAGTTAGGCACAGAACTTGGGTCCAGATTCTATTTCACCTATTAGATATATAAGAGCTAAGTGCGATTCAAGTTGCAGCAAGGTAAGTTTACGTTAGCTATTAGGAAAAACTCTCTCACTATGAAGGTAGTAAAGCACTAGAACAGGTTATGCAGAGAGATGGTGGAATCTCCATCCCTCCAGGTTTTTAAGGCCTGGCTCAACAACGGCCTGGCTGGAATGACCTAGTTGGGGATGGTCCTGCTTTGAGCAGGGGGTTGGACTAGATGACCTCCCAAGCTCCCTTCCAACCTTAATTTTCTACAATTCTATTCCACCTTGCTTAAGTCCCTGGAAAACTATTCCTGCAAAAGTGGTGGGTCCTCCTACTGTTTGGTGCTTTTTGAGACTCATACTTAAGGCTAAGTGGATGATGTGTAATAAAAAAAGTAAATGTCCTAACTTTTTTCAGGGACTTAAGGAAGGTGGAATAGTATCACAGTTAGACATGCTTACTTGGTGGAATAGGATCTGGCCCTTGGTCTTTCTGGGTGTTCATATATGTGCTCTGGTGTGGATGGAGGGGTGCTTTAATTAGAGCAGCTCTGAGAGCCACTCTAATTCAAGCACCTGCAGAATCATGTGTATTCAGTATCCTGCACTTCAAAATGGCAGTGAGGTACCCCCACCACCATTCTGAAACACAGGGATGCTGAATACACACGATGCGGAGGCTGCTGGATTAGCATGCCCCAACAGACTTGCAGCAGAGGTCCATCACATGTATAGGTGCCCTGTGTCTTATTGCCTCTATCCAAAATACAGAGCAAATATCACTTCTCTCTCTCACAGAGGTTGAGTTGAGAAAACAGCAAGTTGCCCAAATACAGTGGCTTTGAAAGCAATATTAACATCTCAGTTAATTCCTTGATTCCAAAAGCCATCCCTTTTCACAGAGAGAAAGTTTTACCACTGGGCTTTCTGTGAGATATAACATAACAGGGGGTCCCCAAAGCCAACATAACACCAGAGCCAGGTAGGACAGTGGTCACCTAGTAGGGTTGCCAACTCTGACTGAAGCTATTCTGGGAGATTTTTTTTCCCCCAACTAGATGTAATGTAATTAATAGAAGTGCACCAATAGAGATTTTTTGGGCTAATACGGATGGCCAATTTTTAACTAGCTATATTGTAGCAAAACCCTCAGTTTTTCTTTTTCTATATATATATATATAATATATGATAGATATGCATTCCCTTCCCTTTCCCAATTATTTCTGGCTTTTCTTTCTATCCCTCTCTATTCCCTATAGACAAGCATAAATGAGCTCAGACTTAGGATAAGCTTTAACATTTTTATTTTGGTAGCAAGTTTTTGGTTTTGGATATCCACTGATTATTAGGTTTGTATTGATTTTTACTGTTGTATATTGTATTATTATCATTTTTGTATTGATTTTTATTTTTTCATATGGATATTGTATGGTTTAGGCCTGTGTTTGTAAGTGAACCAAAGTCATGTCAAGTTTCCATTTTGTATGTCAAGTCTCCATCTTGTATCCTTTGCCTGGGCATCCCCTGTGTTGCAACTGTATGAGTCCCATACTCCTCACATGTAAATTGGTTCCCGGATGAATGAGAGTGATTGGGAATGATTGAAATCCAATGGTAGCAGGCCTCTACTGAATGGCCTGTAATGACTGGGCCATCACCTCGCATTGATTCATCCAGGAACCACAGACGTCACCCAGGAACAGAGACAAGAACCCAGCATTTGAAAGACAAAAGACCCTGCAGAATCAGCAACTCTACTATTGTACCCCACCATTACAGACACCCGAAACTGCACATCCCTGCATGGAGCACACATGCTCAGTATGCCAGGGGCTGACCCTTGCCTGGGAATGCCTCCTATCACTAGGGTCATACAAGGTCTGCCTCTATAAAAAGGGGCAGTGAAGACAGACCCAGTGGGATGCCCGCTCCATCTGGACCAGCACCATGCCACACCACCTATCCACCCAGAGGCACTGCCAGCGACCCCCCTCTGGACAATACCTACTGGACAAGGACCCCTATCCAACCCAGATAGGTAGCTATCACCCCCACCCACTCTTCAACCAAGGACTTGGACTCTGCTTCTCTTCCCTACCTGGACTCCAGCTCTTCCACTGAGTCTCTTTCTCCTGCTGCCATTGTGAGTGTGTGCGTGTGCGTGTGTGTGTGTGTGCACGTGTGCATGTGAACCAATAACTTCATGGGGATGTGTAGTGTGTTGTCTGTGTAATAAAACTGTTATTTGGACCCCTAAGTTGGGT